GCGTTTATGGCTGCTATCCACTGAGAGGCCCTGTGTCCCGAGACTACGTCAGAGTGGGTGCGAAGAGTTGGGATATCAAGAGCGTCTGGGTCACCCTCATGGGCTAGTAGCATGGCACATGGATAAGGAGCAACGACTACAAGGAAAGCCAGCTCAAACTACCTTTCCTCTAGGACGATAATGCTAAGGCCCGTAGCACCCCCGGCGGACGGAGGACGGGCAGGAGCAGAGAGGAGGAGAGAGCTGTAATTGCTCGCTACTCCACTCCCTCCTCTGCTACTATTGGCCACCTCGTTCTGCATTTTCTCTTCCCTGATCTCCTTGCGTTCTCCACTGTCACTGACATCGTTTCCCACCTGCTCTCGCTTGACACTAGCAATGGTGCGTATTCATTAACATAATTTTCAATGAACCTAACCTTTTTTTTCTTTTTGGCAATGCAAGTTACACTATAATAGCGCATACAAGCATTAACAGTCGTAACTGTAGCTGATGGGCCTAGACAGCGTCCTGCCGTCATACCCATCCCGACATCTTATGGGGGACGGAAAAAGGTGCGCGGATTGGCCCAGATGGAGGTGAAGCCACTGGTCCATGCAAGCGATTTAGCCGAGCTGTCACAAACCCTGCTTATGAGGCGAAATTCATCCGGATCCAACCGTTCCAGGACGGAACGTTGCCCCGGCCCCAGCATGACTCCTGCCCGTTTACTCCCGTTCTTTGCCCAAAGGTAAACCCTCGTGTGAGTGTAGAAAGCTGCCGCAATTTTCCGCAACACCCTTCTGGACCGAAAACGTCCTCTCTCAAAAGCCGCGTCACACCTCTCCTCCCATATCTTGTGCAAGGCTATGGCGGTGATCGTTGCCTCCGGGAAGCCCGAACTCGAGCCCTCCTTCTGGTACAGTAGATCCCCCAGCGAAGTGATTTTTCTGCCCGGATTGATCATGCGGAGGCCCTTCAGCAGCCCCTGCACCACCGGCTGAATATGAGGACAGCCGAACAAATAGTGCTCCGCTTTCTCTTCCCCTCCACAGTGCGGGCATGCCACCTCCTCGAGAAAATTCAGCCTCACCCCAACCTGGAGGTTACGACAATGCAGGCGAAGCAGGACATCGCGGGCTCGGTTCGGAAGCACCGTGGAGTCCCGCACCCGGATGACTTTCCCCCAATCAATCACTTTCCCCCACTCCTCAGACCACTTTGTTAAAACACTGACTCAACTGGTAACCGGGTTTAACCAGGGGCCTAGGCTTAGTAGCCTAGGCCAAGCGGGTGTCGAGTAGTTTGTGCCAAGGAGAATTGAAGAAATGGTTGGAGGTTCACTATAGCACACGAGTACATATAGCAACCTAACAAAGATGAAAGAGGTGCACCACCATACAAGGGAATTACACAACAGCTACACTACAGGCAGATTATACTAAATAGATATTAATCTATTGTGACACACTTCTCTTGTTGATGCATCACCCCCTACTACACAACAAAAAACATCCTCAACTGTTTGAAGGGAGGGATCCGATCCTCCATGCAGAGCTCTGAGCAACGCAGCCATACCTCAGGCAGAGCGCCCGCTCCAATCACTTTTCCGCTCCTCACCATCAACGGCTCCACCTTATCCAGAGCGAGAACCGTAGTTGCCTCCGCAACCCCCACCAGGGGCACCCCGAAGCAGTCACACGCGCGGCAGGCAAGTCCATCTTGCACCACCGTCTCTGCTTTCCAAACTCCCACGGCGCCTATTTTCTTCACATATAACGACTCCGCCAGAAACTCCGCCCCCGTTATTGGCGCCACTAGCTTCACCTTCCAAGCAGCTGGGACATTATCAAAGACTTTGAGCGCCCTTCTTGCCTTCTTGCGCGTACCCAACTCCTTCGTCAGCAGTTTCTCGTCCTTGAAGAAAAACGTGCCGTCATCCGCTCGTCCGACGAAGTCCCCGAGTTTCAACAGCTCCAGCCTCTTTCCCGCCGCCTGCCGTCCCAGTGGCTTCATCCCATTAGGCAGAACCTGCCGATTAAACACTAGCGGCTCCTTTGCGATGTCCCATCGTGAAATCGGGCCCTCCTTATGAACATTTCGCAGGTCTGCTTCCATCTGATGCTCCGGCCTATCCATGTTTTCATCAACTCCGTGTGCGCCCAGAAGGAACGGAAGCCGGCATGGAGGTCGGCCGCTTTTGTTGACAACCAGCTACGAACGCCGCATCTGACCAACTCCAGCTTCCCCACTCGTCTGACAGCCAAGCCGCTGAGCTCAACAAAGGGGTCCCATACTCCCAGCCCGCCATCATTCCTTGGCCGGAAAATCAAATCTCTGCTCCAAAGCGTGAAGTGGCGCTCCTCCGACGCCTTGTTGCCCGAGATGAAGTTCACGAGCAGCTTCATAATCCGCTTCCACACTTTCTCTGACAGAGGGTAAACCTGCCCTTGGAACGCCAGTATCGCACAAACGTAAGCGTTGACAACCGCCACCCTTGCCGTCGTAGTCAAGTGGTGGGACTGCCGTTTCACAAGCTTCTCCGCCGCTCTGGCCAACGCCTTGTCCCAGGTGACCTCCGCACTTCCTGATGGGGAGACCCAGACCCTCAGAAGCCTTTCTGCATCCTTTGGATCTATCCACGCGAAATCTGACCCCTCACTTTTCTTTGCCTGCAGGTTGTTCCCCAGCGGGAGCAGCGACGACTTGTCCTTGTTAACTCGGAGGTAAAGCGGGCCCCAAACTCCTACAACCGCTTCTCCGCCCGACCAATCTGACTTTTTCCTTTCAGCACTAGCGTCGTGTCGTCAGCATAGCCGAGGTAAGCCAGTCTGTCGCCATAATCAACACAGACGCCTAACCTCATGTGTTTTGCCTCCTAGCAGATCGGCTCTACGGCACATAAGAAGAGGTAGGGAGCCAGTGGGCACCCCTGCCGAACCCCCTTGCTGACGTCAACCCGGTCTCCCAGCCAACCGTTTACTAGCAGCCGGGTGAAAGAGCAACCGTGCAGACCCTCGCACCACCTGATGAATTTACTCGGGAAACCCATCAGCGCCATCATGTCGAAAAGGAATGTCCACGACACGGAGTCGAAGGCTTTCTGAAAGTCGATCATCAGCAAGTACTAGTCCTCGTCATCATTGTCCGCAGCCTCAATCATATCGGCGTCCGTCGACACTGCATCCGATAGCCGTCTGCCCGGCAGGAAGCCGTGCTGTTCCTCAGAGATGACCGTACCCAGCACCTTCTTCATTCGGTTGGCCAACAGCCTCGCAACCACTTTGTAGGAACTTGTCAATAAGGTAATCAGCCGATAATTTTGCACCTGCTCCTTTGGCCCGTTCTTATGCAGCAGGATGGTCACCGCCTCCTGCACCTCCTCCGGGAGGACCGCCGTGGACTCAAACTGTTTAATGAAACCCATGAATTCCCCCCTTAGTAGGTCCCAGTGGCGCTCGAAGAGTTCTTTCGGCAGACCATCACTGCCTGGAGATTTGTCGCATGCCATCTCCTTCAGTGCTTTCCTTACTTCTTCCGACCAATCTGCCTCTAGACCAGTCTTCTCCTCCTCCCGCAACGTTTTCAGAAGGTCCGGCTTCCAGCAAGGCAAACACGATGGCGGAGCCTCCGGCGTAGAAACGGGAGGCGACCTCCAGGATGCCCTTCGTCCCTCGTTGTTCCACCCCTTTCGAGGCCAGAACGGTGATCATCGTTCGCGTTTTCTTTGACTTCACCTTCGCCGAGAGGACCTTCGACGCGATCTCACCCTTCGTTTACTCTTTCACCCCTACCAAGAGATGCAGCCTGTCATTCTCCCCTTTCAGATACGCGGCCAACTGCGACTCTTTGTCCGCCAGGATCACACGAAGGTCATCCCGATGGGGGCTTCTCATCAGTTCCTGTTGCAGCCCGGAGACCGCTAACTCCAGGTGCCGCAGCGTCGCGCGCACCCGCTTCCGCTCCTCCGCCGCGTACCTCCTTAACGTAGCTTTGAGCTTGGTAAGGAGGGAGCCAAAATTCCATGAGACTCCCGCGTGATGTCTTTCCGTGATAGCTTTAATCACCTTCTCCACCCCTGGCCTTGCCGTGTCTGCAGATGGCATCCGCCAGATGCCTGGGCCCATATGCAGCCTCAGGTTAGCCTGCAACACCACCTTTATCCCGCACTTGTGATCCGAGATACCACCAAGCGAGCGAGTATGGGATGCCTCAACCACCGAGGACAGAAGCTCAGCCGACACCAGTATCCGGTCAATCCTCGAACTTGATTTCGTCGCCCTCGCAAAGAAGGTGAACTCACGGCCGCTAAGATTCAGTGTCCGGAACGCGTCCACCATGTGCAGACCGCTGAACGACTGCAACATCATGTCGTTCTCCCTGCACGAACCCCCCCTCGGGTATTTGTCCAGGGTTGGATCCTCCACAATATTAAGGTCACCCACCAGCAGCAGCTTACCCTGACAGCTCATACCCGTAAGAAAAGGGGTCAGCTCGTCCCTGAAGAAGGTAACTCTGTTGCACGCACTCGCTGAAAAGTACGCCGCGAGAATCGCAAAACCGAAAGTGTCCCATCTCACTTCCGCATGTATGAGCCTCCCTGAAGCATGGTATGTGACATTCTCAAATACTAACTGCTTGTTGTTGCTGACAATTGCCACCCCTCCAGCTCTCTCCACGTTAGCCACCGCAAGGCAATGATGAAACTTCAGCCGCTTCCAGCAATCATGGTTCGGATCTACCCTTGTGTCCGTAAGAACGTAAATGTCAGCTTCCTTCCTTGTCCATATTTTCAAGTTCCGTTGCTTGCCCCTACTTCCGAGCCCGTTGACGTTGAGCTCGCACACCGATAACTTGGAGGCCTTATCCATTAATCAACTAGATGAGAGCCCCAAAGCATCCACGGGCTAGAGAAACGCATCTGAAACAGTACAAGTTACCACTATATAGCATTGCATACAACACCCATGATCTCCGATCTAACAAGCACTCCACTTCATCCCTCCTTCCGGCAGAGAGGTTCACTGAATCCCGAATTCCTTGCGCAGCACGCGAAGGTTCAGCTTGTCCTTGAGAGCACATGTCGCAGCCCCCTGCTTCGCAAACCCTCCCCGATGGCGCTGGGACAGCACATGATGAGTAGCCTGCTCGAAAGAAGAGCCCTTCCCCTTCTCGCAACATTCCAGCAGACAGACCCACTCCTCCCTGTTGCCAGCCATTGAGACCAGCACCAACGCGGGGTCCTTGAGGATGATCCCGGTTGTCGCCGTGGCTACAGTCGCAGCCGCTGCACGGACGGGAGGTAAGCAGCTGGACATCAGATACCGCCAAGCGAAGGAAAGCGACAACAACGTGAGCAACAAGGAAAGGTAAGCAGAAAACATCGTCTCTACCGTTGAGCTCCTGGATCCTCCCCACTGTGAGGTTCCACTTGGAGATGTTGTTTTGCCGCTCTGTGATGAAGTCGTTGTGATTATCCACACAGTGCATTCCTCCACAGAGCGAACACTTCAGAGCCGGGTAGTGCACCATGACTTTCGCGCCAAGCGAGATCGGATTCTCAAACTGATGGAGCCACCGAAACTTATCATTCTCGTGAGCGACGACCAACCCCTTCACCCGGTCAGTATCAAGACCCGAGACGGGATGCACCACGCGGTGAAAATGGAAGCCCTCCTTGAAAGCCAGATGCTTGCAGATCTTCAGCGGAGAAACAGCCAGTGCTTCGTGCAGCATCTCAGGTGAGATTTCCGCAGTGACACCAAGAAACAGCACCTCAATAACTGCCGGGTCAGTAATCTTCCTCCTTGTGTAGCCTGGATATTCCGGATACAGCCAATCCAGGAAGATGTACTTCCCATCCACACACTGATGCTCAATACGATTACGCCAAACAAAGTTAGCATCAGAAGCAGCAACGAAAATGACTTGCATGCAGCCGTAAAGCTTCTTCGAGATATAACCCGGATTCAGTTCCCGGAACATTGTCTTAACCGCGTTTTCAGTATGGTCGTTCTCCCACATCCCCAGCAGACCCTTAACAGTCGCCTGCGTGCGACTGATTTCCTGCAGGTGGTCGCTTGGGATAAGCAAGGTGAGCGGAAACCGAAGCTTCGCAGCCAGGTCTTCCTTCGCCTTTTCCTCGAAACACTCCTTCGGATCATGAGCCAGAAGACCGTCATCCTCATCATCAAGGAAGCTAACCCTACGAGCAACACCAGGTAAGTCCCCGTCTTCATCGTCCGCAACATTTTCATCACCCGCATCCGAGACAGCATCCTTAAAATCCGCATGTTCCTTTCCTTTGCCATTGTCCGTCTTCCCAGCAGCTTGCTTGATCCGGAAAGCCGCCAGCTTGGCTGACAGTGTCCATGACTCCGAGTCATCCTCTGCGAACAGAGTACGCGACGACTTCGACGGAACAGCAGTAGCCGAAGTTGGACGAGAAGAGGGACCCGCAATAAGAGTCTTAAGCGTAGCAGCAGAAACGGCAGCAGCAGCAGCAGGGTCCATCTTGTTAACATGCTTAACAGGTATCGCTCTTGGAGGCATGGCGTGATGATGAAAAAGCCACCAAAGCCAACAGAGTGCTGGAGAAACAAGCTCCCTGAGCGCCTTAAAAACACTTCTGGAGCAAGGATGTGAAGCCTGGTAGTCATTCCTTGGTATTTTCTTCGGAAACGGAGTCGTCTTGTGATGGTTGTTGACAATAATAGATCCTTGATAACAACGCGCTGACTTAGCGACCAGCACAGAGCCTATAAAGTGAACATAGGTGTTAGTTGCTGCAACCAAACGGAATAATGCCTTAGGGAACCGCGAAACAATGTCCTCTGTATGGACACCAAAATTATATCGACGTGTTCCTTGTGGACAGGCGATGCTCGATAACTGGTTATTAGCGTCTGTAACACACCGGGGCACCGACATCGAGAGCTCCGAAGATCCAGGTGGCAGCCATGGCTGTTTCAGGCGGGGAGTCATTGTCATTCCTCGAACCGAATATCGTCGTCGGGTGTCGAGCACCCTAGCTTCGATCAAACCCTCGTTGGGGTTGGCAGCTCCTCCGGCAACGCGAGCACGGCGGGTAAGCACGTCGGCGGCTAAGAACGGCGGGTAGCCTCGTCGAACTCACCTTACCTCCAGCTGAACAGCTTTCTGTAATTGGGAGTGTTTCTTGCCTCCTTAGGTTGGATATGAAGAAACAGACTTGTTGGGCGTAATTCGAATGCTTTGTCTAAAGCTAATAAATAGTGCGAGCTCATATTTGTGCCATATAACGAGTTGTAAAGAAACACTTCCCGGCTGACGGTGGGAATTCACTGTAGTGCTGTAACGTTTTTTCGCTGTGCTGCCCTTCTCAACCGCCCAAGGCATATTTTGCATAAATGAGGAGTTTTGAGATTTTCAGCGCAACGTGTTAGCTACGAAAAAAACATTGGACCTCGTTCATTCGAGCGGAATGTCTTTCAGCCAAGCAGTGCAAAACTTCACCAGGTCGAGAGACGAAGCTCTCCTCACTTACGCCAGGAATGATGAGAAAAACAATTTCTTCCAAGTTCTGAGGTGTTGGCAGGATAATAAAGCGCTGCCAACTAGGCACCGCACAACAGATAAAATCAGTTGAACGGCGTGAACTTGGAACATTCTCGCTGACGTTCGCATCGTCGTCGTGGATGAACAACTTGGCTGCCTTTGCTGACCCAAGCCAATTTCTATACAGTTTTTTCACACACACGAGTTGCGTTGTGATATGTGTCTCCAGCGTGGTGGTGATTTTAGGCACACGACGGGTGGGGCAAAGGAACTCTCGTGACAGAGAAATTTAGTGAAGCTCAGCGAGAACCCGAAAATTGAATGACACTCCTGTCAGTGTGTACACACGCCCTCGATGCGTTACACAAGGCATGCTTGACTCATTCCACTGTAACGCGCACAAAGTCGAAACAGTCAAAACAACGGAATCTCCTGAGAATCATCATGTACAGTTCTCTAGTGCATCTGCGCGCAGGCTGCAACACCTCCCCCAAACAAAACCGATCATGGTGCCCACTGCCCACGTAGAAATTCGTTTCACCTGACGTGAACCTCCCTCGCTGCAACTGCTGCAGGTATTCCCCCCCCCCCCCCCTGATGCATTGCTGCCCATCCCTGCGCCACGGACCGGTTGGTTGTGCTGCAGTATTCAGCGCTGCGTGCTTTCGCCGATGCCCCTCCCCCGCCCCACCTTGGCATCTCGTCACATGTTCGCACCAACATGTGCGTGGACCATTGGTACTCCTTGGACATTTCAGAAACAATAAAAAAACAAACACCCCCACCATTCCCTCAACAACCGTCCATTGCGTTGTGCGTGCGAGCGACCTGCAAGCCTCCCCTTTTTTTGCAGATGCCCAACCTCCTTCCCCCCGTCTCCCCTTCCTTTACCTGCTGCTGCTGAGTCTGCTATGCTGCCCTCTTTACTGTACGTACTAGCAATCCCAATTTCGCTGGTCGCACACTGTCGCACACACCTCGTCTGCTCCCTTCACACGCAAACTCTCGTCATGTCATGCCGTGTGTCGTGTCCTCGTCCCCAGAAACAGTGTTTCGGGGGAACAGCACTTTCACCAACAACCTCTTTCACTGTTGCTATTTTAGATTGCCGATGCTCCCCCTTCACCAATCCCCCCCAGTAACCAAAGGACCGACCACCAAACCCAAGCCCAGCAAGGGTTTGTGACATCCTTTTATATATACCGCCTCCGTCCCAGTGAAGTAGTCTCTGCTGCTAGTCCACACCATAGCCCCAAGGAAAGTCGATTAGTAATATCAAGTAAACGGCATCCCACTCCATCTGTTAGATGAGCCGATCTTAGTAACACGAAAGTCTCTTGTCAACAGCTTTAGACGACATTGCAGCAGTCCAAGTGAAGCAAGTCCGCCTGAGCCGGCTGCAATTTTTTATCCAATAGGTAGACACTTCTCAGCAAATGACGGGTCTTGGGAGCATCGTTTTTTCCTTCTACGCTAATTTCTCTAGATGCCACTAGAAGAATGCTATGCGCATGCGTTGCGGACATACGAATGAGTGACGTCTGACGGATGACGGATTGTGTGTGTGTGACACTGGTAGCCGATAGCGACGATCGTACGCTGATGCATATTCTATAGCTGCTTCTAACAAACACCAGGTCCTTTTTTCCTAATCGTGTACTACGAGAGGCGAGCAGTGGTCGTTGCGAGAAACCCCCCCACAGAACGTACTTTTGACCGGGTTCATTTTTTCTCCCCTCGTCGTGTCTATGGCTCACTTTCCCTCCTCACGCATCCATATCCGTTCCTCGTCCCTCCCAATCTCCCCCTCCCTCAGCCACCGGCCCTTCTGAGTACGTACATAACACAGCGCCAGCTATGGGGCCGCCACATCGGCACCAACGGCATCCTCCCGCCGCTCCCTCGCGGATTTTCCTCTCGCTCGCCCTCCTCGCCGCCCTCTCTCCCTTGATCGCCGCCCAACCAGTTGCCGACAGTCAAAGTACGCCGCCCTGTTTGCTGATCCCAGTCTGGCCTCGCTGCTGGCTCGTGTTTCCATTGTTCTTGGCGACGGTCGGTAGTTCCAACGGCTAGTTGTTTGCGCTCTGCAGTGTTTGACTTGGTTTTGCCGGCTACCCGTCAAGTCGCCTTATGTACCCGTATTTTACTCACTCGTCTCTCCTCTCTCCTTCGGCCGTCGTTCTCCTCTCCCTCCTCCCTCCCCTCCCTGCCGACTCCGACAGAACCGGCGCTTCAAGCGATTCTGACGGCGTGGGGTGACTATGTGCCGCGACTAGCGCAGTCGTGGTTCGTCGCCGCCGACTGCGCGAATTGGTTTGGCTTAAAATGTGCATTCGACGGCCGCGTCATCTCACTGTACGTGCCGTGTCGTCTCCACGCAACATCTCCCGTCTCCGGTCTCCGGTTCCCCGTTCGAACGCACTCGCCGTCACCTGCTGCCTTCCTGCTGTCACCTTCCTTCCTACCCGTTTAAGACGTTTCAAAAGAAAACTCACTCTCCTTTTCGCGTACGGGGCCATCTTCGAATCATCTTGTTCCGTTCCTACCCCTTCGGTTTCATTCTCTCCCTTCCGTTCCTACCCCTTCGCTGTGTGCAGTGAAATCGCCAACCGGCCGTTGTTGGCGGGCCAGGGCATCCCTTCCGCCATCACTCAACTCGTCGCGCTGCAAAAGCTGTAAGCTGCCCAAGCCCACGCCGCCGTTTTCTCTTTCTCACTGTTAATTCACTCTCACGCCCACTCACTCTCTCTCCCTCTCTCTCTACCTCTTACTCTCCCCTATCACTCAGCTTTCCCACATTACCGTCCCAATGTGTGTCTCTCTCCCTCCCTCTCGCTCGCAGGAGCCTGGACCATAATTTCCTGGGCGGCAGCATACCCACCAACATCGGCTACATGACCGCCCTCACTAACCTGTACGAAGTCTTTCCACTCGAGTTCCCGCCTCGCCTCCCTATCGGCGAAGCCGCTCCGCTCTCCCCTCCCGTCCTCCTACGATTGGTTTTTTTCCGCACTTTTTGCTCGGCTGTTTCCGTCTTTTCATAGCTCCCTTCGCTCACTCCTGTTCTTCGTGTGTTCTCCGTCGCTCGCTGTCGCAGGTCGCTGAGCGGTAATGCCCTCGAGGGCGAAATCCCTTCCAGCGCCGCGAACCTCGCCAGCCTCCAGACGCTGTACGTCGCACGCATTCGCACGCCCTTGCTCTCGCACGCATTCGCACTCCCATGCTCTCGCACGCGCACGTGAAGGCCTTTACTCTTAACGCTTTTTTCGATCGTCTGTCATGTCTTTTCAATCGTCCCGGCACTGTCGACGTCAACCTAACGTGCTCTCTCCCGTCCTCCCCTCCCCTTCCCCCTCCATTCCAGCGATCTGAGCGCGAACCGTCTCTCCGGCGCCATTCCCGACATCTTCTGGGGCATGGGCAGCCTGCAGACACTGTATGCCACCTCGCCTCACCACCCCTCGCTACATGCACAGCACTCTCCGCGCCCTCGTTCATACACAGCCGCCCACCCGCTCTCATCCGTCGTTCCGTTCGCGTCGGCACCAACGTTGAGCTCGCGTGCTTTGAATCGGTTTCAGTCCACTGTCTTTACTTATCGCTACTCATCCGGTACTTACTTTCTTCCTCCCTTTGCTTCCTTGCGTGTGTGCAGGGCGCTGGGACTCAACGCTTTCACAGGGAGCTTCCCTAACAGCCTCTTCTCGCTCACGCAGCTCCGCCATCTGTACGCTTCCGCTTCCGCTTCCGCCTCCGCCTCCGCCCATTCTGCCCTGTTTTTTTTTTTTTTTTTTTTTTTTCCCTGTAGTCTTTCGTTCGCGCAACAACGCCTGTCCATCCCGCTAACGTTTCTCATCTCTCTCCATCCCTGCTTTTCGCTCCGCCTGGCTCCGTCTGGCTCCGCAGGCTGGTGGGCGACAACAAGCTCTCGGGCGTGCTCTCCTCGTCCTTCTCCAGCCTCGCCTCGCTCGTCGCGCTGTCAGTCCCTCGCCATCCCATCACCGTCCTCACTGCTC